GATGATGGCATGACAGTGGTCAAGTTCTCTGTCCACCATGTCTGTCGTCACAGGCTGAAAGTGGTTAAGTCTCATCGGGCAAGACGGAGCACTGGATGTCTCTGCTCGATCCACTGTTTTCAAATAGGGGGTAAGATCCCGGAGGATGGCCTCCACTTTTGATTTTTAAAAAGATTGCAAATTGGTCAGGTGAGATGCTCGTGGGAGGCCAATCACTATGACCAACTCTGTAGCCCTCTGTTGTATGCCTGTTGTATGTAACCCTCTGTTGTATGCCTTCCTCAGATGTTTTTTTCTTCTCAGCACCATTTTTCTACTTTTCCACTGCAGTCCTCTACTGCATTTGCTCAAATTGCCATTTAATTCAATTGGCTACAACAAAATGGCTGCCATGATGTCATCTTGTGAGCACTATCACCAACATTAGTTTAGCTATTGTTGATGTCATCTTGTGAGCACTATCACCAACTAACATTAGTTTAGCTATTGCTTCCCAACTAAACAGTAGGGTATGCGAAGATGGTAAGGAAAACAGCACTGAAACAAAGCACATGCATTTACAATAATGTCCCAAAATAATTTTATCGAGAAGGCACTTTTCAGCTGTCATCAAAAGAACAACCCATAAAATAAGCAGATTAGTTTGAGTTTAGATCTGTCTCATTGGGATCAAGTGAAGGGAACATAAAATAACATGTAAACAGTTCTCAATGAAATGAATGGCGGCTCTTCACAGGTATAATAGAGCTCCCATGTGTAAAACTGGGTCAAATTCTCAGGCTGCACATGACTTTACTAAAATATTCTGGTGTGACATAAAAAATTAAAAAAACTTTCAGTGAAATGTGGGTCTGCTATTCAGAACAATACTCTTTCTAGGCTATATCAAGACTAGTTAAATCCTTACACTTTAATATTAACCTAATATTAACAGAGTCCAGCAGTTAGAATTTATCTAACACCTGTCCATTATGCAAATACTAAATAAATGTAGTGAAGGAAGTTGTGCTAAGGTAATAGTTACAGTATCAGGGACGTGGTGGCGCTGCAGGTTAAACCGCTGAAGCCTCTGTGCTGCAAGGTCAGAAGACCTGCAGTTGTAAGATCGAATCCACACGACAGAGTGAGCCCCCGTCGCTTGTCCCAGCTCCCACCAACCTAGCAGTTCAAAAGCATGCAAAATGCAAAAATTCGAGTAGATAAATAGGTACCACCTCGGTGGGAAAGTAAACGGCCACGTGAACACAGAGGATTGTCTGCGGACAAACACTAGCTCTATGGGTCGGAAACAGAGATGAGCACCACCGCCTAGAATCGGACATGACTGCACAAATTGACAAGCGGAACCTTTACCTTTCTAATAGTTACAGTATAATAAACTTTCTTACCAACAGGTTTCTCACACACAAGGCCATCAACCACATTTGTACAAGGATTTGCTTTCAGTCCAGCAACCTCAGCCCTTTCAAGATAGGCGCAGAATCCAGAGTCATTTGGTTCTCCTGGAAGCCACTGTAAGGTGGTGTTTGTAAAAGGAGACATATCATCCCATCCCCAGTAGGAGATGTTAATCTTCCGTAGGCCCACCCAAGGTGATATTTTCTGTAAAGCAGAGTGAAAAAGAAGCACATTAATCAACTGGACTATCACACTGTCCTTCTGGGGGAGGGGTCAGCCTTCACACCTGTACTTCTGTCTTGCTTCAAGTCCATTAATGATGAATTCTCCAAATATGTGCTTGTCTGTGAAAGGAACACTCATTCACAGGAAAATTTTCAGATCTTGTATGGTGTCTTCCTAAAAGTTGCTGAAACCTACAAAACTTCTATTCCCTAACATTAACTCAGCAATGTTTTTTTTCCAAACTCTAAACCTAGTGGGAAATTCAGAATGAACACAGGATCATCTTTTGCTCATTGGTATGCTGCCCACAAACTACTAGGGAAATATGTTTCATTGAATGCATATAAAATTACCATAGAACAAGAGAAAGGAAAAACAGGTGGGAGGAAAGCAATGCAAGAAGTCACCACCGCTGAAGTAACCATTTCCTCGCAATCTGGAAATCAGCACAGAGGTCTGACAATGCATCTCAGACTGCCAAGATTTTTTTTTCTACATTTACTTTAGAAGACTAAAGTATAAGATACGTATCTTCGACTCTGAGGAAATGAATGAGGAAATATGGGGTCCAGCATATCTTCCTGAATATTTCAGTGCTACAAAAGAGATAATGACAAAACCTAGGTGGTGCTGCTGTACTTTAAGCATTTCTTACTTGAACCTAAGATTAAACTCTTCAGTAAAGTTTGCCATCAGAAAGTCACTCTCAGATAAGAAAGTGAATGCCCATCACAGAAGATTCTACGGTAATAGTTCATCAAGTGCACCATTACAATAGGTACAGTCAACCCAATGCCTTTTTGTGATATAAAAATACCTTTGTCTAACTTAATATGCTTTCCATTATTACTCCAACAAATATCAAAATAATTCAATTTTTCTGCAGTGTCAGTTATTTATGAATTCATAAAATAAATGGAATTCATAAAATAAATGTTGCATTCACTCACAAACTACTAGGGCATAGAACCAGTCATTCCATAGAACCAGTCAACACCTATCTGGAGACCAAAAAACAGCAGCCCTCCAAAGGCAATTTGCATCATCATCACTCTCCTTGTAATCTGCAGAACTTCAACCACTGGTCTAGTAATGGGGAACAAATAGCTGCTTCATCGCTGCCATTAGCAGCATTAAAAGAGCAACCTCCACTGCCATCTTGGTTACAAATAGTATTAGTCTCATCCTGTCACTGATCCACAATCTCACAATCTCAACTGTTTTTCCCTGATGCTAACAGCAGCTGGAAAACAGAAATCTCAGCAACCCTGATGGAAACAAGAGAATTCTACTTCTCTAACCCAGCAAACTGTACATTAATTTCAGGAGGCAGGGAGGGAAACATGTATGTGTGTATCTGTGTGTGACCCTTAACCTTCAGCTTTGCATTGCATGCAGCCGTCAGTCATAGAAAGGCTGCCATATAGATCCATACCTGTATCAGTCCAAACTAAGCTGATCTGCTTTGTAGCTGCACTAACCTATAACCTTCCCTCCAGCCAATTCTTGAACTCTTTCTTTATTTTTCCCTTATTTTAATTTTTCTTTATTTTATTGTGATTGTTATTGAATGATTATGAACATTCTCGTATTTTATTGTTTTATTTTGTATTGGAAGCCGCCTAGAGTGGTCTGGTAGTCCAGATAGGCGGGGTATAAATCAATCAATCAATCAATCAATCAATCAACCAACCAACCAACCAACCAACCAACCAACCAACCAACCAACCAACCAACCAACCAACCAACCAACCAACCAACCAACCAACCAACCAACCAACCAACCAACCAACCAACCAACCAACCAACCAACCAACCAACCAACCAACCAACCAACCAACCACACTTTTAGATCGAATCCATCTGTCTTTTTTTTAATGGTGCTTTCAAATCCAAGCTACTGTCTTAAATAATAACTGGAGTTGATCAAAGCAGATGGAGTGAGCAAACCAAGTGCCATTTCAGGGTACAATCATTTTGAGAAATGCACCGTTTCTCAGATAGATTATTAGCCCCCCACCCCTAGCTACAGCAAAGAGCTCTCACTGGCACAACTCAGTAATATTCTATGGCAGTGATTTTTTTAAGTGCAGCCCTTGAACTTTCGCCCAAGCCCAAGACCTCCTACAGTCTCATATTTTTAACATTGATAACATGTGTGTCTCAAGGAGTACGCAGCCTGAAAGTGTGTGGGAGAAATATCGCAGCAAACAGTGTAACTCACAGCAGCTTCCCATTGTTGGTTAAGAACCCCCATTTGGATTTTTGGGCAGGCTGCATTCTAGTGGGTTGGTATGCACCTGAAAACACAAGCAAAGATTCATCAGCCCCATGACTTAACTGTTTGCCTTCCACAGGGTTAACTGTGTAAGAGGGTGTTGGTCATCATGTCTTTAATTATTACCTGCTTTGAGTACTTCTGTACCTTTTAAATTTAAAATTTAAGTACTTCTGTATCTTTTAATTTTAAAATAAATAAATATGTGGGATTATCTGTGAAACAACATTCCATATCAGATATTTCTGTGTCCAAAGTACAGACTGATCATAAACACCTTTAAACCACCCCAGCTCTTTACCACAATGGAAGAAACTGCTTTTCTCCAAAAGATGAGGCATACAATGACAGATATAGCTCCTTCTTGGAAACAATACACATGATTGTCCAATATAGTGAATTAAGGGGTGTCCAATATGACCACTCCCAAGATGTTTCATGATCCTTTTATACAACATTTATTTATTTATATCCCGCCTATCTGGTCGGATTAGGACCACCATAGATGGTTGATGGTTCGGTATTTGTCTGATAGGCAATGAACCAAGTTAAAGCATTTTAATATTTTACGAGAAACTCTCCTGCCACATTTAAGTTTATATTTTTATTTTAAAAATAATTATAGTAATTCCACAGATCTGTGTTCTATACAAGACTTCCATGTTTAATATTAAAAGATTTTAAGACTAAAACAATTAAAATATTTAAGATCAACAGACATTTTTCAGCTGCACTTTCTGTATTTGTGAACCTTACTAGACTACCTTTGTAAACAAAGAGATAATAAAAAATGAAATCAGCTGTCCTAAATCATGATGATTGCTATCTAAAAGAAGAAAGATATGATGGGATATAAAGGAAAATCTCAACAAGCTTCTCGGGCAAAAGGTAGCATGTTCAGAGTGATTTACACCGAATAAATAGAATGAGATAGATATGAATGAAAGAGAAATTACTTTTGTGGGGGAGAAAATCAGAAACAAGATAAAGCATAAATCACTGTAACTTTTCATTAGCAGTATTTAACCCACAGTATCACTTTAAAGTGCATTTATTTATCTAGGCTTCCTATATACCACATCTAGGTTACTGAAAATTTAGAGTTTCAAGACATAATTCACTTTAAAAAAAGTATGTTTTCTATGTTGTCACCTTGCAAAGGTTTCAGAGAGGAAATCCAGCTATTTCTTGAGTCAATAAATTTATCAAAGTGACAGGTTGACACAGGATGTATTATTAGATTTGAGGATCTTCTTTCTACCTTTCCCTTTGTAGATGTATGCAGTGTGCATACGTAAAAATAAATAAACTTCATATGTGAGGTCAATCCTCAGGACTGGACATACATGGGTCTGACCTTGCCTCTGAAACTGACTGCAGCTTACCAAGATAGTTCAACAAAGCTACAATGACCTCCACTTATTTTGTGTGTGAATTTCTTGATATCATTCCCAAAGCCCTGATGATGGTGGAGACCACAGAGGTATGTTTCATTGACAAGCAAGATGTTTTGATTCCCATTATTATTATTATTATTATTATTATTATTATTATTCTACTACTACTACTACTACTACTACTACTGTAGTTTCTATGGACGGAAAAGAGCAGATACGGATTAAATGGTTTTCAGTGCATTCCTATGGGAAATGCAGATTCAACATAAGAACTTTTCAACTTGAGAACCACCTTCTAATACAGATTAAGTTCTTAAGTAGAGACCCCACTGTATTAGCAGCATCAGCATCAGCATCACCACTATCATCATAATCATAATTATCTGCCTTGGGTTTCTGTTCTAGTAAAAACCTGGCAAATAAAATAAAAACAAGTCAGTGTGCATTGGCCTTTCAAAAGCAACTCCAAATTATATGATGCACAGGCAGGAATAGTGAACTGTTGTGGAGCTGGATGACAGGAGCAGCTGCAATAGATAGGAAGGATATGTATGGATATCCTTTGTGCACCATGATTACAGTTTACAGCAAATCTGTACCTTATATGTAAATATTATCAGCTTTGTTACCTCTTTCATGAAATATTCACAGGGAGTCATGTTGCTGTTACCTAGAAGGTGTCATACAGATAAATGGAGTTAACTAAGAATGTACTCCCCAAACCGCTATCCTTCAGCTGTTTTCCTTTGAGAATTACACGAAGCCTGAAGTAGATCAGTTCCTAACAAGGCTGAAGTCTTTGAAGATCACTTAAAGAAATTTGAAACTGGGCAATTCATTCTAATCAGGCTTTGGTTGAATGTATTCCTGGGGGAACATAAGCCATTATTCCTGCTTTTGTCTTTTCTTCTATTTAAACATAATCTTTTGATTGTATGAAAACTTAAGAGTTCTGCCATTTTAATGGTGAGGTGTACATTTCTCTTTTCAAGCATGTGAAAAAAGTGAAAAAATAAAGAACTCTTGAGTGGATAATTATTGAATAACAGCATCATCTTGCCTAGAATGATTGGCACAGAAGCCATGGTGTGTAACAAAAGGATTTGGAAGAGTTTTAATAAGAAGAGTTTGAAAGGGTTTAAAGCATTTAAAATGATTTATAATACTTCATTACTTAATTATTAAAATATTTATTTTGATTTTTAAATATCGTACAATAAACACACAATTGGAAGCGAGCTCTAACAATGTGTTTCAGACACCAGAAAGATATCATGTAAAAAGAAAACAGTTCATACATGTCAAACACTAACCTCCCCAATATTTGGACTTCATTAATTAAAAAAAGGGAAGAATGAAACTGTACAATATTCCCAAAGTGCTGCCTAATGTTACTGACCTTAATATTTGAATACACAATTATAAAAGTGCCCATTGAATACTAGATTATTAATCAACCATTAAATAGCAGCAGTTTTAGAGAATGGCTGTTTAAATAGTCATCTCAATAACTGTATCCTCAAAAATCCTGATTATATTACATTCAGGTGTCAAAGGCTACAGTACTGTGTCAACTTTTATAGGTTTCAGTCCACTAGCATCTGTAAAACTGAAATGACTGAAGTATGTCCAGTTATACATCTACATCTTAATTAAGTGGCAAATACTTTACTAATTACTCTACAAGCAGATGGACTTGAAAGTAATAAACACTACTTAGCAAGGCATAACAAAAGAAGGGTTTATTCTCCAGCAGATCCTACAGAGAAAATACGCTCCACAGGCACAAGAACAAATACTTCTGAGATTTATATTGTTCTTTAAAGTTAGTCCTCAGTTTATATTCACATATATATTTCTGAATTAGAAATTCAATTTACCTGGAGAGTATACTTCTGTATTTCATCCAAAACAAATTCAACTTCTTTTGAGGTTGTTAATGAAGCAAGGATACCATTTAAGCCATAGCAGTAAAGTCTGGCATTGTCGTAATTTTCACGAGTAGAGTTTATACGGAGGCAGGCATCTCCAACGTGATTCCATCCTTCCCCACACAGATGAGCTAGTAAAGAGTTACACAAGATTACATGTAATTATGAAAGAAAAACCATCAGATTTAAAAGTAGGTTTTAGTAATTAATTTTTCAGAACACAGGTCATACTACCTGCACTATACTTTCAGCATAGCTGGTAATAAAATAAATAAATAAATAAATAAATAAATAAATAAATAAATAAATAAATAAATAAATAAATTCCAGGGGGTGCCAGAGTTGAAAATAAAGAATTGGAAAAACTAACGAAGTCCAGACCTGGCAATTGAAACATCTCGCCTCTGGAAGAAACACACTTCAGTGGTCTCTGGAGGTAATTGGGGCTTTGGGAACAATATCAAGAAACTTCATACAATACTATAAGCTGTTGCAGATCTCAGAAATTGCACTATCAGAGCTTCCCCCCCACAGCAAAAAAGGAATATTAGCAACAGCATACATACTGTGCTGATATTTAACAGATACTTAGGTTTTTAGTTAAAACTTGTATCTATTATATAATACCAGTTAATGTTTTTTATAATTTTGACTGTGCCTGGTGTTTTTAATCATCATCATCATCATCATCTACTGTGCCATCAAGTCAGTTCTGTCTTCTGTCAACCCAACCAGGGTTTTCTATCCAGTACTGAAAAGTAGTTTACCATTCCTTTTTTCTTGGGGTACCCTGGAACTCCACAACTGGACCCAGGCCACACAGGCTGGGTCTTATGGGAAGAACAGTGAGGAACTGAATTCCCCAGCCAGTTTTCAGCATAGGTCACAGCACATAATGGGTTGTTGCCAAGTAATAGCAATAATAATGTTCTTGTTACAATTTACTAGTTATTACTACGCAATGTTTTAACAAATCAGTAGTTAGGTGACATCCTGATGCACACTTTAAAGAACTACATATAAATTAAAGATTATCTAGCAGCATATAATTATATTGAATTAAAACTGGGAATGCAAATTCCTCAATTTATAGTTTTCATATTGTTTATGGCCAATAATGTTAAAGATTATCTAGCAGCATATAATTATATTGAATTAAAACTGGGAATGCAAATTCCTCAATTTATAGTTTTCATATTGTTTATAGCCAATAATGTCACAGTTATGTGTGTTGGAATTTGAAATGTCTACATTCCTATGACTTATGTGAAAAGTCCTCCTCTTTAACAACCTTAACTTAAAGTTCATTAGAACCCAAATGTTTTCCTCTTTTACCTGGCAGAGCCTGGCATTCTTGCTGTCGCTGGTCCCACTGGCAGTTGAGGTTCAGTGAACAGCTTTTACAGCTAGTCAACTTGTTACAGATCTGTTCATTCCTTACATGACATTTGGTATAGTTTTTCACAGACTAGAACATAAGTACACATAGAAACTGTTAAAAATGCAGCAGTAACTGCACGGTTTTTATTAGCAAGCAGATTGTGGATGTACAGTTTTCAGTTCCAAATTTGTCCAGGTATTGTGTGTTTTAAAGAAGACTGTAAAGAAACTGATAAACATTTTATAGTTAATACAGTGAATACACAATAGACTATATAACAGTGTTTCCCAAACTGGCGGTCACAAAGTGTTTTCTGTGGTGTCATGGGTCACCTCATTTGTGTTGTGGCTCTTTTAAAATAATTCCTTCCTTGACCTCTCAGAGCAGGATATTAAAGTTAATGTGTATTTCTTTCTATGAGAAATAGGCCCTTTGTGGAGGTCAAAGAAGCCTCTACATTCTGAGAAGGGATTATTTTATCTCATGAAAAATGCCTTTTTATGCAAACAGTGGGAGGATCACCAGTTACTTGGCTATTGTAAAAGACAGTCACAACTTGAAAAAATTTGGGAACCATTACTATATAAAGATTTTTATTTATTTTTTCATTTGAAAGGGAGAAATATTTGAAGAGAGAAGTCTCACATTCTGCACCAAGGAAGTTTTCAAAGACTGGCCAAAATCCTATGGTATTTGCACAAGATTGGTGTAACCTGCCATGACTAATTGCTGCAAATTGATGGGTTACCATGGTACATCTTAATCATGCAATGAAATGTGTGACCAGGCATTTGACCAAGATCTACTCTGGCAACTCATTACTGGCAGGAGGTAGAACAGTCCTCTTAATTTCCTGCCATTCCCCTGTTGTTCCTGTGGAGTGGGGAGAAATGTGGTATGAGAGTCCTGAGCGTTCCCTGTGACTCACAAAGGCTCATGGGAGGGAGAGTTCATATGGAGTGTCTTTTTTCCCATTCAATAGAAACTTTTTAAATTTTCATTTACAGTCAATAACCAGGAAGATAAAAATAGATTATTTGGATAAAATCACATAATCAGATAATAATGAAAGACATTGGACAAGGCATCTCACCATCAATGGACATTTTAACTCATTAGAGTTAAAAAAGACATTCTAAAATTTTAAAGCTTTTATATCCTTCGATGCTGACGGCTACCTCAAGAGAAATGATGCAGGAAAGGCAAGGAGGTCAACGTGTTGCCAGTTTGAGGGCTTTTACTTACATAATCCAGGCTGGGAGACTCTTGCCAAATTATGGGAGTAGAAGTTCTTTAATTCTAAAAATCCAGTTCCTAAAATCTATAAAGGAATTCAGAATTTCTGTTGTGTAAACACCTTCTGTTTTGGGGTATGAAATCTGGAATAGCTTGGAACATAATTCATAAAGATTTTAATTATTTAAAATCCCCAAACCTAATTTACATTAGAAGGTAAACTTTTAAATTAATTATGTTAAATTAAACATAGAGGCCAGAATCCTATTGGGAGAAAGTGGTGCATAAGAACAATCATGCAAGTGTTTTCTCTCTTTCATACATTGTCATACACTGGGTGCAAAATTAGACAAATGACCGTACTCATGAAGGACAGGCTGCCAGAAGCGGGAGAGGGGACCACTACACAATTCTCCTTAAGTACATGATTTTTCTCAACAGGATTCTGGCCTAAATTATTAGTTTTAAAAGGGGAAAAGTAGGGGGGAAATGACATGTTACTATAATTAACACTCCTGATCCCAGTGGCTTTTGTTGTTTATGCTTGACTCTTTTCTGTACGTGGTTTTCACAACCTGGTATTTTTCAAAAGGCTTTTAGTACAAATCCTATAGTTTGTATTCAAACACATCTGGAAAGTTCCAGGTTGGAGAAAGCTGCCTCAAAGAACAGAAGAAAGAACCTGTTTAATTAAGCACTTGTTGCTGGTCTCTCTTCTCTTGTTCCCCTTCTCATCTCTGGCAACATTTATGGTGTGCACTCAACCTTCAGACGTGGACTGTGTGTTATGCTTGAAAACATACCAAGCAATCTGATATCCTCCATTTCTGCCTTAGCCTTTTACATTTATCACAAACTTGTGCCCCCATCCTGCTGCTGTGGTTACCATGATCAGTTCCACCCATGAGTAAATAATTAAATTTGTTTTTTCATTTGCAACTTTCAATTTTAACTTCTAATTTCCTTGACACTTCTAATTGTAATTGTCCTTCATTGAGGCAAAATTGATGATTGTTTCATAGATTTAAAAAAGATATTCCAAGCTTTGGGAGACAGAGCATATAAATCCAAGGATTCCTCCCTATACTCTCATGCCTCTCTCTCACAGTCCTGAAATAATTATGGAAGTAGATGGTTATATCCAACTGATTCCAACTCCAGTTATAGAGCATTCCTTTCGCCTCACAGTAATATTAATGTGTTTAACTGATTGCTCCTTCTCTCTCTGTATCATGCTAGTAAAAAGGTGAAGAGTGGTGACATGTAGGGTTGAACTTGATCAGATTTTCAGATCCTGCACTGTACAACAATAAAAGATTGTTTATTTTCTGCAAGGGATAAGTTTCCTTCAACTAAAACAAACAAACTTTATACAAACTCGGAAACAGGAAAAATCAGCAGATTTCAGAATTTCAGGAGAAACTCTAGAGGTCGTAGACTTTTCTTTCCACTTTGAGACTTCTAATATTTCTCGTATTAATGCCTAATTTCTCTTGACAAGTTGATCTACTGATTCTCAATAGCAGCTAGGATGGAAGTAGCTGGAAATGTGCAGAGGACTTTTTCAGTAGTAATACCTAGGTTTTGAAATACCCTTCAAAGGGAGAATAATCTCACATATTCTACCATTTTCATCAGTTTGTACTTTTACTAAGGGACATGGTGCTGCTGCAGTTTTACTACAGATGTACATGTTTTATTGGTGTTGCGTTGTATTTTTTTCTGCTCCTGTTTTCATTATTATGTTATGCTGCAAATTAGACTGTGTATTCGATTTTTAATGTTTAGATTATTACTTTGTTGTTAAAGCCATAAAAGAAAAGGGAAAGGAAGGAATTTACAAATATATTTGTGCTTTTAAAATATAATATGACTTTTTTTATTCCATGAACAACACACACGTCACAATCAAAGTGTACAAAATGTCATGATATCCCTTTAAAAGATCTGGCATTGGTGGTTAAGGTGACTTTCACTAACAGGGCGAACATCACATTTGATGTGTGTGCACCCTTCCTATTTAATGAGACTTTACTACATTTTCTGTTCAGGCATCCACACCAAAGCAGAAGATACTAAATGAGAAAAAAAAAGATCTGAAGAGTTGAGAACACATAAGATTGAAGGAAAAGCTGAAAGAATCTGACCATGCTGAGAACAGGAAAAAACAAAGATTAATTGGGGAAATACAATAGCTCCTAACAAAACAAAAAAAGAATCAAAAAAGAAACAAAAAATACACAGCTGTCCAAACATATTTACAAAAGAAACAGTGGAATTTTTTATGAGGTAAAAAACAGATTACTATCTATGGAGGCATAGATAAAGTACATGCCTCCCTTGAAATGCACAGATCTGAATATCACAGTTTTGTTTATACATTTTTTAAAAATAAAAAAATAAAATTTCAATAAACAAACATAAAAATATTCAATAAATACTGTCCTGCTATTCATCTTCAGGAAGTGTCCTGATAAAGATGGGTCTCAGGCTTACCTAGAGCCCTGCTGTTGGCAGTGTGGCAGCCGCAAGTCTGATGGAGGCTCAGTTGCTCCCCTCCCCCCCCCATCATGGCAGCTCCACGTAGTGGCCAGGGAGAGTGCTGGGGCATGCCGGGAAGCTGCCATTACATTTAAAGGGGCTTAAGAGTTACACACATATTTTGAACTACACAGGGGTCTGGGGCCCCTAACCCCAGCACTGTTGAAGGAACAAATGTATAAGGAATCTTGACATTGGAGTGGCTCTGATTAAGTGACCTATGTATTCTCTCTAATTTTCGAATTTAAAAAGCATGAATTTCCAATACAAATTATTTCAAGGACAATGCAATAGTTTATGCAGCATTGGGACACGTCTGATACATCAAATTAACATTCATTTATTCATGTAAATTATAATTATTTCTTTTCCAAATAAGTAGTCATATTAGTCTCTTTCAGTGTACTGGCAAAAATCAAGCAGAAGGCAAAGAAAAAAACATTGCTCCATTTTAAAAAATTAATAGATTTATTACAGTGTGGGCCTCTGAAAACTCACACTGTAATAAATCTGTTAGCCTTTAAAGTCGTACAATATTTGTCTTCTGTCTTTTCCCCCTTTCTTTATCCCCTTAATTCTCCTTAATTCAGGAATTTTTTAATTGTCTGAACCAGACTTCTCTCTCACTGGAGATCACTGCTACTGCACCTAGTTTGAAAATCAGACATGGAGTACAGAATGGAAGGTCCATGATTTGTTTGGCTAATTCTACTACATTGGGAACAACCAAGATAGTGGATACCACCCAGGTGCCTCATTCTTAGTGAATTAAAATCCTTAAATGTTCTAAAGAATTTCTCGATGTATCTACACACTGAAAATTACTAACACTAACTACTCACATGTTGTCAAGTACTTAATTCAGTGCATACATTAAAATAAAAAATATTGTAGTCATGAGTATGACCGTATAATTAAAAACAGAATGAACTAACAGAACTATGAGTTCTTATTGAACAATGGAGGCATTTTCAAATCTAATTTACAAGAAATCCATTATTCTTAATGTCCAACCAGAAAGATTTTGCAAGATAATCAGGTGCACCCATAATAACACAACCCTTTTCTTTTACAGAATCTTGACATAACTATATGCATAACAAATTAGCCAGAACAAAATGTTGCAAAGCAACAGAAGGTATGCCTGTAAAATATGCACAGACAAATTTCAAAGAATCTTTTTATACCTATTTGCATTTAGTTTGGCTCAGTCATTATACATTATTGACAATGCTGCCTGAGAGGTATATTACAATGAATTTTAAATTGCAAGTAAGCACCATCTGCTCACTTAACACTGTCCCCACATA